CATAGCGCGCTTCAATTTCTTCAATGCCATTATACATAAACATTGCGCGCCAGACTCACGCTTAGAAATCGAATGGACTGTGCACAATAGTATCGGCACAGGTGAGGCGCTTGTTATGTACTTAGTTGACTAATATTTCCTACTTTTTTTCGGTTCACGGTTTACTCACAGTTTTGCTATTTGAATTCGGCAATAGCGGCAAAAAGCAACTGAAAGTCAAACCCTATCAATTATGGTTCAACTATCACGGCGCGGTGGCACAATCCTATATGATTCGCGTGAATGTGGACGAGCACCAAGGCGGCACAGTGGTACACAAGAAAGCTAGGGTGAGTGTGGTTGGATATGTCATAAATTTATTTCTGTGCTATTGCTTTTAAATAGTGTTACATCTTCGTTATGTCGAAGCCAGTTTCGGCACTCATTTTTGGTGGAAACACACGTGAAGTTGGCGTTCGTCAGTCTTTCTTCTTGGATGGCTCTCAAAGTCGTGATTTTGCACTGTCACCGTTGGTCGAGCAAACGATGCATTTCAAGTGGAGTTGTACTTCAGCTGACGACAGTTCCAATAGCTACTGCCACGAAGATATGGGAACAGGTATGAAAATGGGAAAATATTTTAAAGGTTAATACAAAAAAGCGTCACTGAAATGCGAAAGACCTTAGTTAGCAAAAAGTTTCAAATACACTTTCTGATTGATTACACTGTTCGACAGTCGGCTGAGGAATTGACGAAACCAAGTTTTTCTGACAGTTTGAATGGTATATCGATGGCTGAGTGGAAGATCGACCTATCTCGGCAACCAGTTCAAAAACGCCCAATCTCAGAAAACTTTTCAAGAACGCCCTACTTCAGAATTTTATTGAAAAACACCTCTCAATTTTTGAGTTTGGTTGAAGAACGCCCTATCTCGGAATTCGATTCAAAAAGGCCTTTTGTCAAATGAAAATGTATTGAGGATGTGCTGAGATAGGGCGTTTTTGAATCGGCAGCTGAGATAGGGCGTTCTTCAACCAAACTCAGAGATAGAGTGTTTTTCAATCAAATTCTGAAGTAGAGCGTTCTTGAAAAATTTTCTGAGATAGCGCTTTCCGATCTTCCACTCAGGTGACGATATAGGCAAGTACATAATTTCTCATTTTTCCCAGGTTGGCGATTTAAGCAATTGTCTTTTTCCAATTTGAAATTTGTGGTCGCAGAGTTGCTGTTCAACATATTAAAATTAATTTAGATGTAAATATTTATAGCATTAAAAGGCCTTTTTGCGAGTTTTTGGGTTCAAGCAATCTGAACCCGTAGTTAATTTTTGCCTTTCATTTTCAGCAAAAACGGCCGCTGGGTGAGATTTTGTGCGCTTTGGTGCAATAAAACATGAAGTAACATTGCTTAGCAACATTGTTGAGAAACATGGTTTGCACTTTTCCTTCATGTTCCAACCATTTTGTTTTGCAACAAAGCGCACCCCCGCGGCCGTTTGTAGTAAAAACAAGCTGCAAAGTCAGACCTCCGGAGAAGTCTTTTAAATGTAGGTATAAATATATTTGCAAATTGTAATTGTTTTAAATGCTGTTCTGCGACCACCAACTTCACATTAATAAAAAAAACGCTTAAAATCGCCAATCTGGTGTGACAGTCCTTAGCCAGATGTGAATTTGGGTCGTTGCGGTTACGTAGACCCGACTGTCGAGTGAATATCCTGGAAAGGCCATACAGAGTTGTAGCTACGACCACTTAAAGGACTGATTGCAGGGCACATAATACAAGGAGATAGCATAGGTAACATCGACGACCCACTGTGGGCAACTTGCTTGCAGGGTGTTCGGCCTTCCTCCGACCGATATGTTGTACTTTTGAGTCAGATGTATTGAGAATAGACGAACTTCTTTCCTACCTGTTTTTCTCTATTCCATTACTTCTTTAAGTATAATGAGCAACTGTTCCACAACTCTATTACAGTCCATTCAGAATATCGCAATCTAATAGCGCTAGTAGCAGCTGAATTTTCGATCAAAAAATATCTATTGGTACCAAATCGAGTAGAAAGTTGGAAGAGTCCGCCGGCTGGCCTCTACAATTCGTTATTTTAACGACGATATCTATAACAAGGGATGGCCATCAGAAATGCGCTTCATATGAAGATATGAAGCCATGTTCATCCAGTGCGCAATCTTTGGCTTCAATCCTTTCTTGTTTCTCAGCATTTCTTTCCTTAAATAGGGAGCCAACGAGGCGTTTCCTGCTTGCTTCTGAATGTTAAGGATATTCAGCCTACACTTACGTTTGAGGTCGAGAAATTGAATTTATGTTTAGTAAAAATCGGTAATTTTATCTGAGTTTTACAAGTCAGTTCTCCACTAATTCACAAGATGAGAACAATTTATGGCCCAAGAATCTATTTTGAATGCGCACTCCATACATGTGGCTAGAGCGTCAACATAGGCCCGCATCTTGATTTCCTGGCACTGTAGATTTACTAGTAGTTTGTTCTACCTACATATATTTATAAGGTACGTTTTTACCACGAGAGCTTATTCTTAACTAAATTACTTTTTTATTTTCTCGCGAATCTAACAGCCAGCAAATTGAATATTCCTGCTGGAGTGCTACAGCTTGGCAAGTCCTACACATTTAAATTCCAAGTAAACTCATACGTCAGCAAAATGTCGCGCGATGTTGCAAGGCAAACCATTCAAATAACAAATGAACCCAGGCATTACGTCTTCATTGAATGTGTACGAAATTGCGCTATGGCGAAATATGCGGCCGGTCGGAAGATACATCTGCTCATGCGATGCCCCACTTGCGGCGCGCAACCCACCATCACATGGACAGTTAGTAGCGGTGGCAGCTTCCCTAGCAATGCGCGTCGTATCGGCTTTATGCCACCTGCCAGTGGCGATATTACAGTTGAAGCGTCCACTGCCAGCGACTCGATGAGCGGTAAATGTAAAATAACGCTATCCTTGAATGAGCCACCCAACGGTGGACAGTGCAGCATAGAACCCAGCAGTGGCGTTGAGTATGAAACGGAATTCCATATAACGTGTGACGATTTTGAGGATCCAAATACGCCCATAA